GGTGCCACTATATTGCCCAGGTTGGTCTCAAACTCCTGGGCTCACATGATCCTCCCATGTTGGCTTCCCGAATTGTTGGGATTACACGCATGAGCCAATGTGCCTGGCCTTTTTTTTTTTCTTTTTGAGATAGAGTGTCATTCTGTAGCCTAAGCTGGAGTGCAGTGGCACGGTCTCAGATCACTGCAACCTCTGCCTCTTGGGCTCAAGTGAGTCTCGTGCCCCAGCCTCCCGAGTAGCTGGGACTACAGGTGCGTGCCACCATGCCCAGCTAATTTTTTGTATTTTAGTAGAGATGGGGTTTCACCATGTTGCCCAGGGTGGGCTCAAACTCCTGAGCTCAGGTGATCCACCCACCTCAGCCTCCCAAAGCTCTGAGATTACAGGTGTGAGCTACCGCATCTGGCCTGTAATCTTTTTAAAAAAGGAAAACAACAAGTGTTAGGATGTGGAAAAACTGAAACCCTCATACACTGCTGGTGGAAACGTAAAATGGTTCAGCCACTAAGGAAAAGAGGCTGGCAGTTCCTCAAAAAATTAAAACATTACCATATGACCAGCAATTCCACTCTTAGGTATATGCTCAGAAGAACTGAAAAAAGGTACTCAAACACATGTATACACATGTTCGCAGCAGTAAAACGTCTATAAGGGTAATTTCTTTTCTTTTTTTTCTTTTGAGATAATTTCTTTTCTTTTTTTTCTTTCTTTTCTTCCTCTGTCACCCAGGCTGAAGTGCAGGGTGCGAACATGGCTCACTGTAGCCTTGAACTCCCAGACTGAAACAATCCTCCTGCCTCAACCTCCCAACTAGCTGGGACTACAGGCATGCGGCACCATATCTGGCTAACTTTTCTATTTTTTGTAGATACAGGGTCTCGCCAAGTTGCCCAGTCAGGTCTCGAACTCCTGGGCTCAAGCAATGGTCCTGCCTCAGCCTCTTAAAAGTGCTAGGCTTACGGGCATGAACCACCCGCCTGGCCTATGATGGTAATTTCTAATCTGTGAATATATCTGGTCTGTTTACACTGAGCTGTGGACAGGTAGGAATACCCGTGTGTTCCACAGGCAGGCTTATCACCAGAAGTAGCAAGAAATAAGTGAGGCTGTGTATGAGGAAGGATTGTGAAAACCTTTGATTAGATTTCTTGATTTAAACATAAATAGCTTTATTATAATTGCCTACATATGGGCATAAAAATAGTTAAATTCTATCTTTATCCTAAAATTTAGATATGACCATTATAAGTTAACGGCAATTCTATATTTATAATTATTGTATTCATAAAGAAAAATTATGCAAATTCAGTTAAACACATTAAAGATGGCATTTGAGGCAACTTTTAGGGACTTGCCAATTAATGTTTGGCATCCTGATTTGTGGGAGCACCTTGGAGGTTCCAATGCTCAGATGCTGGACACAGGCGCCTCTGGTTAGCATGGCGGTCATATACATGCTGGGAACCCGAGGCGACCGCCTATTTAATGGCCCACTTCCTATCCTCCCTGAGCACCAGGTTTGAGAAGAGAACGTTTGTTCCCACACAGAGAGAAATGGACTGCTGAATGGCAACAACAGATCCACTGAGCAAAGACAGCGCTAAGAAAACTACAGTGAAAGCAACTGTGACTGAAAAACGGCCCCTAAGCCAGTACACTTGGAGGAGCTGAGGAAGGGCCGAGACCAGAACTACCAGGAGCAGCAGCACCTGGCACTCTGAGCTCCGCAACTTTTTTTTTTTTTTTTTTTTGAGACAGAGTCTCACTCTATTGCCCAGACTGGAGTGCAGTGCTGTGATCTTGGTTCAGTGCAACCTCTGCCTCCCAGGTTCAAGTGATTCTCTTGCCTCAGCTTCCTGAGGAGCTGGGATTACAGGTGCACACCACCACACTCGGCTATTTTTTGTATTTTTAGTAGAGACGGGGTTTCACCATGTTGGCCAGGGTGGTCTCAAACTTCTGACCTCAAGTGATCCATCCACCTCAGCCTCCCAAAGTGCTATGATTACAGGTGTGAGCCACCACACTCAGTCTGCAACTGTTATTCTACAGCCTTCTTTAAGCAGAATTTTTACTCTATTACTTACTGTTTGCTACAGTTCTAGACACAAATTTACTATATTTTGAGGTCTCGTTTTTAACCAAAGGAAAGGCATCTCTAATTTGAGAGAATTACTTCATGAAAGTGTAGTTTCTCGTCAGCTACTTGGGAAGGCCCTCGCTCACAGGTGAGGCAGATCTATACCCAGTAGAGCAAAGGGGTGGACTGGATCCCTTTTACTTTCTTCTCTGCCTCCATTACACTAATGATTTATGTTCCCTATTTCTATGATTTTAGTTGAACTACATTTTAGTTAGAATTTAAAAACTGGAAACAAAAGTACATCTGCTGACAAAAGGGTGCTCCAAAAGCTGGAAAGCCCGGGGAAAACCAAAAAAGGGAAGCAACAGATAAACAAAGCAAAAGTCTCCTGCCACAAGACAGCAATGACACACTTGGGGAAAAGCAGCTCCACATCCAGCCCAGCAGGGCAATTAGAGGTATCATCCAAATGATGCCAATAAAGGGAGAAGGGCAAAGATCATGAGCAGACAGGTGTGCCCTGCTGATAACAAGGCTTTCCGAAAATCCATATTCATGCAAACATTTCAGCATACTGACTCTGTTCCTGATACCTGATGCCAAATGCTCCACGCCGGGAAGCACCCTGGGCAAGTGACGGGAGGCTGGATTCTGACCAGACAGATAGGCAGATCACAGTCACACATGAAAAGCCCCCTTAGGACAGGGAGGGGGAGACACACAGACCAAGTGACTCAGGCAGACACCTAGGAAAGAACCTGATTAAATCACAGTATAAGACATGGTCTTAAAGCCTTCAAGAAAACAACAGTCATTTGGGGCCCAACATTGTCAATATCTCTTGGTTCATACAAGTTAGGATTTTTAAAAAGTATTCATTCAACCCTTACTATATGCAAAGGCACTGTGCCTCTTCTGGCCCAGGGCCAGAGTCCTGCCATCTGGACAGGAAGCAGGGAGAAGAGCCAAGGGCTAAGTCCACTCAACATGCAACCAAGCACAGGCAGCACCTCTCCAGATGGAGGCCGCCCCAAGGCCATGCCCGCCACACGGGGCTGGAGCCCCGGGACTGTGTAAGGGGTAGAAGTTGTAAGTGTGACAAGGTTCATCTTCCTGGAGTATCAACTATATTTGAAGAAGTGAAAAGCATAAAACATGGTCACACTGAGAGGCAGATTATAATGTGTTGATCAATTGTTAGAATAAAACATGAGATTTCAAAAAATCCTGGATCTGCCAGGCACCATGGCTCATGCCTGCAGCATACTTTGGGAAGCCAATGTGGGAGGAATGCTCGAGGCCAGGAGTTCAAAACCAGCCTGGGGAACATAGCAAGATCCTGTGTCTTTTAAAATAAAAATGACAAAAGGGGAAAAAAAAAACAACACTGGATCTCACATCTGTACAGATGTGTGTCTCCTGGTGAGGGTGCCATGCACCTCTGAAGCGCCTGTGCTGAAAGGCTGAGCCAGAAGGAACGGGCCTCTACAGACACCCAGAGGCAGAAGAACATGTCCAGTGGAAACAGCAAAGGCCAGAGTGGGGGAACTTCTGATTACTGGACAATCAGCCAGGATTCTCCAACAAATAAAATGCAAGGAAAACAGAGATGGGGAAAAGTATTCTATTGATTAAGAGACTCAACAGACATATCACCTAACTGCAATTATTTGGACCCTGCTTCAAGCAAACTAAAAATACCAGACACTATTGGGGAAAACTGAATGGTACTATGATGATACTATGATTATAAATGAAATTTGAACAGCAGTTTTCTTGACACTTTTCAATTTATGAAAAATAGCTATGTATTAAATCTCATTTTGGAAGCAAACATTTCAAACTTTTTATACTTATATTAATGTTCTAACATATGAAAGATTTATTATTATATATATATTTTTGAGATGGGGTTTCGCTCTTGTTGCCCAGGCTGGAGTGCAATGGTGCAATCTTAGCTCACTGCAACCTCTGCCTCCTGGCTGGGATTATAGGTGTCTGCCACCATGCCTGGCTAATTTTTTGTATTTTTAGTAGAGATGTGGTTTTGCCATGTTGGCCAGGCTTGTCTCAAACTCCTGACCTCAGGTGATCCACCCGCCTTGGCCTCCCAAAGTGCTAGGATTACAGGCATTAGCCATCGCACCCAGCCCTATTTTTTTTTTTTTTTTTAAGGGACAGGGTCTTGGTCTATGGCCAGCCTAGAGTGCAGTGCCATGATCCTAGTTCCTTGCAGCCTAAATTCCTATTCCTGGGCTCAAGTGGTCCTACTGCCTCAGCCTCCCAAGTAGCTGGGACTACAGGCACACACCACCACATCCAGTTAATTATTTTATTTTTTTAGACAGGGTCTCACTATGTTGATCAGGTTGGGCTCAAACTCTCAAGAGATCCTCCCATCTCAGCCACCCAGTCACAAATTAAGAGTTTGAAACACAGTATTTTATTTTCTTTCAAACTCCTAGAGAAAGATGCTTAAGGAGCAAATGTTCTTGTATCAAAAAATGTAATACTCCATGAGGCAGGCCACACCCCCAGTTGCCTGCAGTGGGCACCTTCTAGGGAAGGGTAGGTCTAAGATTTCGGAAAGCAGGCCTTTCACAAAGAGGTGCAGGCCATTACTCTTGGTTTTCCAACTTACTCACTCATTCGGGCCATCAGGTTACAATGTCTATTATTTTCAGTTTAATACTGGTTTGAAAAAAAATGAAAAATAAAAATAAGGCCAGACACAAACCAAAACAAAGTGCCACGTATGTAGAAAGTCAAATACATCTGCTGAAGAATGAAAGTGCTAAAGCTAACAATGAATATGTTCAGGATGTTTTACAATTTAATTACTTGATTTTTATGCAAAATGAAAAATTAACAGCTGAAGAAAGAAATCTACACAAATTAAAATTTTCTAGTGGCATACCTGTGTGTCATATGCTTTAAGAAGAAATATGGACGCTTGATCAGGAAGGACTTCAATAAAAAAAGAAGCGAAGCAATGCCAAACTTATCCTTCTTTAATTACTGCAGTAGAGTCCCTTACCTAGAAAATAATAATAATATTTGGTCAATTCTCATCTGGAAAATATTTAGAGCTTTTAAAAATGAAATTTCGCTGGGCGCGGTGGCTCAAGCCTGTAATCCCAGCACTGTGGGAGGCCGAGGCGGGTGGATCACGAGGTCAAGAGATCGAGACCATCCTGGTCAACATGGTGAAACCCCGTCTCTACTAAAAATACAAAAAATCAGCTGGGCATAGTGGCGCGTGCCTGTAATCCCAGCGACTCAGGAGGCTGGGGCAGGAGAATTGCCTGAACCCAGGAGGCGGAGGTTGCGGTGAGCCGAGATCGCGCCATTGCACTCCAGCCTGGGTAACAAGAGTGAAACTCCGTCTCAAAAAAAAAAAAAATAAATAAATAAAAAATAAAAATGAAATTTCAAGGCCAGGCACAGTGGCTCATGCCTGTAATCCCAGCACTTTGGGAGGCTGAAGAGGACAGACCACCTGAGGTCAGGAGTTTGAGACCAGCCTGACCAACATGGTGAAACCCCCATCTCTACTAAAAATACAAGAATTAGCCAGGTGTGGTGGCACACACCTGTAATCCCAGCTACTAGAGAGGCTGAGGCAGGAGAATAGTTTGAACCTGGGAGGTGGAGGTTGCAGTGAGCTAAGATCATGCCGCTGCACTCACTCCAGCCTAGGCGACAAAGTGAGACTCCATCTCAAATAAATAAATAAAAATAAAATTTCAAAATGTAAATTTCTATAACATGAAAAAATTTAAGATTAAACATATTTAACTACTGTACATGCATGTGTTTTGGAGATTTTCCACATTTTTTAATGGAATATGCATTATAAAAACTATTTTAAAATTTGCTTTTACCATGAGGTATTACTTACTTAGAGAAAGGTACAGGAAACGTATATATACAATTTCATTAAATTATTATATAAATACCAGTCTAATTACCACCAAGGCCAAGGGATGGAGCATTTCCAGAACTCCTGAAAGACCGGGCGCCTTTCTCTGACCCCAAACCCCTTCCACCACATGCATAAGTACTCCCTTAACAAAATTTTTTTTTTTTTTTTTTTTGAGACGGAGTTTCACTCATGTTACCCAGGGTGGAGTGCAATGGCGCGATCTTGGCTCACCGCAACCTCCGCCTCCTGGGTTCAGGCAATTCTCCTGCCTCAGCCTCCTGAGTAGCTGGGATTATAGGCACGCGCCACCATGCCCAGCTAATTTTTTGTATTTTTAGTAGAGACGGGGTTTCACCATGTTGACCAGGATGGTATCAATCTCTTGACCTCGTGATCCACCCGCCTCGGCCTCCCAAAGTGCTGGGATTACAGGCTTGAGCCACTGCGCCCGGCCAACAAAATGGTTTTTATTTGATTTGTTGAGGCAGGGTCTTGCTCTGTCATCTGGGCTGAAGCGCAGTGATGCAATGGCAACTCACAGCAGCCTCGACCTCCTGGACTCAAGCAATTCTCTCACCTCAGCCTCCCAAGTAGCTGGGTCCACAGGATGCCACCACACCCAGATAATTTTTTTATTTTTATTTTTTGAGGCTGGATCTCCCTATGTTGCCGAGACTGGTCTGGAACTCCTGGGCTCAAGTGATCCTCCCACCTCACCCTCCCGAAGTGCTGCGATTACAGGCATGAGCTACTGTGCCTTAACTTGTATGGTTATCATTTCCTAACTTTTCTTCAGAGATTTATCGCCTAGGTGTGCAGCCCGACCAAACGTAATTTATATAAAATCCAGAAGCAGATGAAAATAAACAGAATCAATGAGGTGGATGGATTGCTACATATATTCTTGTCTTGCTTTTTTCTTTCCCTTCTTGGTTGTTACTGTGTCTGTAGTTTGTTTTCATTGCTGTGTAATATTCTGCTCAGTAAATATGCCACAATTTAACCATTCTCATCCTCTAGTGTGGTTTCTGCTTTGGAGCAAATGAAAACACTACTAAGATTTTTCTGATACAGCTATCTCAAGCACTTTAGGCATATATTTCTCTAGTGCACATATCTGGAAATATGACTGCTAGCTTATACAGTAAAGCCAAACTATTTCCCAAAGCAGTTGTAATGTACACTCCCATCAGAAGGGTATGAGAGAGTTTCTGTTGCTTAACTTTTTCAACAATTGTTAGACTTTTTAATTCCTACTAACTGAACAGAGATATAATACTATTCTAAGATTTTTTTTTTTTTTTTGAGACATGGTCTACTTCTGTCACCCAGGTTACAGTGCAGTGGCACAATCATGGCTCACTACAGCCTTGAAACTCCTGGGCTCAAGAGATCCTCCCTAGTAGCTAAGATTACAAGCACATGCCACCATACACAGCAAATTTAAAAAAAAATTTTAGGCTGGAAGCAGTGGCTCATGCCTGTAGTCTGTAATTCCATCACTTTGGGAGGCTGAGGCGGGCAGATCACCTGAGATCAGGCGTTCGAGACCAGCCTGGCCAACATGGTAAAACCCTGTCACTAATAAAAATAAAAAGTTAGCCAGTCATGGTGGCACATGCCTGCAGTTCCAGCTACTCAGGAAGCTGAGGCAGGAGAATCTCTTGAACACGGAAGGCGGAGGTTACAGTGAGCCAAGATTGCGCCAGTGTACTCCAGCCTGGGCAACAAAGTGAGACTTCATCTCAAAAAAAAAAAATTTTTTTTTAAGAGATGGGGTCTCACTATGTTGCCCAAGCCTGGTCTCAAACTCCTGGTCTCAAGCAATCCTCCCGCCTTGGCCTCCCAAAGTGCTAGGATTACAGGCATGAGCCACCACACCTGGCCAACTAAGAATCCTTTATTATAGAATTTTATAATAATTTTGAATAAAGAATTGATGAAATTGTACATCTGGGAAATACTGCAATGAAGATTTAATTTTGTAACCAAATATCTGTTCACATTCCCCATGGTTTCTGTACCCTGACTTCTTGTCAGGTATAAATTCCTAGGTCAGTCCTCCAGAGGCATTGATTCCAACCCCTGGGCCTGGGCAAAGCCTGTGATTTGCATCTGGTCATTCAGAGCATCTTATTCCCCTGCCCAGAGCTGGTTCATCTCTGAACATAAAACCCAGGTCAGAATTAATGAGTCTCCTCTTCTCACTATTGGACTTAAAGAGATTCTCACTCTTTCCCAGAGAACCTGAACATGAACACATGGAGGAAGATGCTGGGGAGGAAACTGGCCCAACTGAACCATCTATAGTCAGCCCTGACTTAGGTTTTTCAGTTGGATGATCAATAAACCTTCCTTTTATTTACTTCAAATAGCTAAGGTTGGCCAGGTGTGCTGGCTCACACCTGTAGTCCCAGCACTTTGGGAGGCCAAGGCAGGCAGATCCCAAAGATAGGAAATGAAGACCATCCTGGCCAACATGGTGAAACCCTATCTCTACTAGAAATACAAAAAATGGTTGGGCCTGGTGGTGCACACCTGTAATCCCAGCTACTCAGGAGGCTGAGGCAGGAGAATCACTTGAACCCAGGAGGCGGAAGTTGCAGTGAGCTGAGATTGCGCCACCGCATACCAGCCTGACGACAGAG